CATTACTGCTGATCTTCAAGGAAACACAGGCTTTCTAAACTGGACGCCACACTGGAGTAAGCATCTAAATTTAAGTACTAGAAAGATGCTGATTTTAGCTATACTTTTCTTAAAATTCTGGAGACTGGAGAGATGGCTCAGGGGACCAAGAGCTTTGCAAGCACGAGGTTCCATCTGGAGAATCTGCCTAAAGAAGCTGGGTGTAGTGATGCATACTTAGAATCTCAACCCCGAGCTGACAGAGACAGGAGAGTACCTGGGATAGATTGCTAGCCTGCCTCGTTTAACTAGGGAGTTCCAGACTACAGAGAGACCCTGTTTGAAAAGTATAGAAGAGTGTAGGAGCCTGACAAGCGATGTCTGTGGTTGACCTCTGACCTCTGACCTACACACATACACATACATACATACACACACAGAGAATATTTATGAAATGCCTTTTCATTTTGCTCATGTTTCTAAGAAAAACCATCTCTCTACCTGCCCACAGTGTTTGCCACCTTCCAGGAGTTGGCACAGCCCTGTGTCAGCAGTCAGTTAAGGAGTGACTGTGTATTCCCAGTGCTGAGACAATGACTTTTCTCTGAATTCCTAGCCTTAGTGCAATCGGCTGACTGGTGTTCACTAGGTGCTCACTCTACTGCAAAAGTAAATACATGTGTGTAGCGGTTTCTGCTACATATGAATGTCATGGACTGGAAACGTCAGAGAAGATCGTGCATCACAGCACTTGCTTTCACTCAAGTGCTTTGTGATCCCATGATCTTTCATCCCATTCAGCTGCTGAGAACCTTCATTAGAGTAGATATGCTTCCACACTGGTGTGAAACTCACACGCCTTTGCTTTTCCATCCTCCAGTGCCTGAGGCTTGTCAGCTTCCCCATGGCAATGGCTAAGGGGTGTGCGAGAGGTAAGATTTGGTCCATTCACCAGAAGCTATGGCAGATGACAACCATCTGCTGAGCCTCTTCAGTGTCCAGAGCAGAACGCCTGGGAGGACTGCACGCTGCCGGCCCCAGTAGAGCTGATGCACTGAGAGGCTTTAAGAGGAAGCAGGGTGGCTCTGGTCTTTCTGCCTCTCTACGGCTCCCAGCTCATGCCGTATCATCTCGGGCTTTCTTTCCTACGACCAAATTAAGTTTATTTCACTCAGACTTCAAACTGCTACTTGGATCTTTTGGTGCATGTAAAATATATCACTGTGTTAACTTAGAGCACTTATATGACAAATGCCATCTAGGTGTTATAGCTGGAGCACCTGGGCTTGGGGTTTGTTGGAAAATAATACAGAGTTATTAATGAAATAATGTTTTACTCTATAAAATCTAAGATGTTATAGTAGCATTTATTTCTTATAAGAGTAAGTTGTCTATCTGAAGAAAGATACTAATGAGTCAGGAATTTGAAAATTCCTTATAAAGTATCCAAACAGGTATTAAACAATTTCAGGCCCTCATTATGGACAGAGGGACATATAGCAATGTTTACTCAACTCTCCATTTAGAACACTATTGTTTCTTATTTGCTTCCTGCGTATACAATTATTTCAAAATATATATGTGGGTCATTAATATTATTTGATATAAGAAACAGGATTTGACATATGTGTAGATAGGAATGTATTTTCTTCTCACTTTGGAGTGTTGCTAAATGTGTCTAGTTTACTAAGAAATTTTGGGCTGATTTCTTACATCTCTTTGTTTCACGGAAGCATTTCCATTCCATCTCACTCCTCAGCCCCTTTCACTCCGGTCTAGCATGGCTTAGCCTTATCTATCTGTCCTGGTGCTGATGAAGCTGTCTCTTGGTGATGTATTGAGCCCTGTGATAATCAGTAACTCTGTGGACTTTCATCCATATCTTCAGGTTCTAGTCAACTTTTATACTTCTCTAGTTTTATCTTTCCATTTAAGAAAACAAAACTTAAGGGAGCCTCTCAACTATTGAGGTCATAGAGCTCGATTTGATACAATTGATCAGAGGCTCATAGAGTGGAAAGCATAGAAAATAATTTGTTTTTAAGATGGGCTGCAGGGAACCAGTGAGATACCACAGTTAGGAAAACACTAGCTGTATAAAACTTAAGACCTGAGTTCATCTCTGGAGTCTACTGTGCAAAGGGAAAACCAGCTCTTGAAAGTTATCCTCTGATCTCTATACATATGCTATGTGTGTGCACACATTGACACACTCACACTTTCTCACAGACAAAGAAATAAGGGTGGAGTAGCACCCTAGGAACTTCCTTCACAGGCTCCTCTGTTGACATCCAAGCCTGTGACAAGAAAAACAGGACCTCTTTCCCAGAGTCCTTTGAGCCACGTGTCTCCTCTGGGCGTGCTAAAAACACCAGCGCCATCTTTCTTCAGAAAGATCAGAAAGGAAAACAAGAAAGAGAACACAGCGATGTGCTTCTGTATAGTTTAAAGAGTCACAGAAGTTCTGAACCCACAGGGTTATGCTTGGGATCCATGGGCTCCACAAAAGAATGCCTCTAAGATAGTAATTATTCATCTTACTTCCCAATTGACAGTGTTGTTCTGATTCACATGTTCTCTTGGTCTTGACTTTGGCGTAAGAATTTTTAGGGTTCAATGACTCAACCTTGCTTCCTGCTATTCTCAAGGTCTCTGCATTCACATAGGGCAGGAATGCAGTATTTTTTATGGTGAAAGGAGGTTGTTTAATCTGTCCAATCTCACGGGACTTGATTGAAATTCCACTGACCAGGATCAAAGGGAAAATTTCCCTTTAGAACATAGGTCACAGGGCAGGGCACCACCGACCATTTGGTTATTCCCTAGTTACTGTGAAAAAATAAGAGTTAAATTCAGCCTAGAGTTCATGTATGCTCCCAAATGTTATCAAGCAACACAGTTGCATGGATTTTGAAAACTGTCCTTGAATTGAATGCAATAGTTTATCATTCTCACATCACTGATGACTTTGTAAATGTAGATTCTTTCATTTTATTGAAAAGAACAGTAAAATTTTAAAAATTGCATTCCTATTTGAACATTAAATTATGGAAAAATGGCCCTAAAGTCATCAGTGATTTCTCTAGTCAAAGAATGAAAAAGTAATCAAAACAATGTCAAATATGAGTGTGGTTTAGAGATAGATGCAGGATTGTTTCAAATCTGGAAAATCTTGCAACTATTTCTGTTTACATACAAGTTCCTGTATGTACCTTCTTTGTTCCCTACTAGATTTCAGGGAAATTATCTTGTTTTCTGACCACAAAAATAACAAACAAAACAGAAGGGGAGGGGAAAATTGAAGGGGAATTTAAAAGGAAACATAAAGGATCAAAATTAATATTTTACAGACCATATATATTTTTACACTTTTTTTTTTTGTTTTTTTCGAGACAGGGTTTCGGTGTGTAGCGCTAGCTGTCCTGGAACTCACTCTGTGGCTAGGCTGGCTTTGAACTCAAAGAGATCCATCTGCCTCTGCCTCCCAAATGCTAGGATTAAAGGTATGTGTCACCACCGCCCAGCCCTATTTTTACACATTTTAACTAGATTATTTTTGCTCACTTAAAAATCATAATAAAATATTTAAAAGTGTCCTGTTGTCCTTGTCCCGATTCCATCCTCTACTTTCATCTATGCTCCATTTCATTTATCCGTTTATTAATTGTGGTGTATTTAGTTCACGTCTATATTTTGGTTATTGGGAATAAGGTTGGTACAGGTCATATAGTGAAACTCTGGACAGTATTCTGAGGAACATTGGGCTGTTTTCCCTAGTGGGTGCACATATTAATTTCCACAGACAAGACTCCTGGGAGGCTTCTGTTTCTTTACTATTTACCATCTCTTGCTCTGGGCCATGTGTTTCTTGCAGCCCTCCAGGGGTGTGCAAGGGCAGCTCACTCTGGTCTAGTTTGAAGGTTTCTGATGGGTATGTCCAGCCATCCCTGCTATATAGCACAGGCTGGCTTCAGAGTGCCATCTGGCTGTAGCTGACTGGACTCAAACTGGCGGTCTTCCTGTGTCTGCTTTCCAAGATTACAAGCAAATGATTACAATCAACTTGTTTTGAAAAGCCCTGTTCAAGGTTTGCTGAAAGTAATGTAAAAAGTATATCTTGTAGATTGTCTTGAATTAATTATGTTTTTAATGTAATTCACAAAATGTTCTACATCTGGGCTATTGACATAACCTTTATATTTTCTCTTCTTTTTTTCCCCCTTTTGGTTTGTCAAGATAGAGTTTCTCTGTAGCTTTGTGGCTATCCTGGAACTAACTCTTGTCGATCAGGCTTACTTTGAACTCACAGAGATCCACCTGCCTCTGCCTCCCTTTATATTTTCAACTATTCAAAATAATATGTATTCATTAAAATTAATACAATCATTGAGTTTGTTTTGTAAGACAAATTTTCTTTTATCTGGTTATTTGTTGATATGAGGTTGACAAGTAAAAACTCAAGATAATGACAACCCAATTTAATCCAGAGCTATTGACTAGAAAGTAGGACTTCAGGCAGCTTAGTGAAGATTAGACTTCATGTAAGTCATTCTTCAAAATTAGGGACATTAATAATAACCATATTTTAAGAATATAAACAAAATATTGTATTTTAAACTATTAGGCAGGTAGAAATAAGACACTTAGAAAGCACAGAAACACCATGACTTCTACTTGGGTCTTCACATAACTAGCTTTTCTAGTACTATCTTCTACTGACTTGGGGATTAAAGTGTCTTACTTATAATTTTTTAAAATGCTTCACTACTTTGAAGATTGAATAGAATTCCCACTCTCCAATTCTTTGACACTTTTCAAAATGAAAATTAAAATAAGTCCTTCTTGTCTGCAAAAGGACCACTACACAGTACCAGTTCACCTTCCTGATGGACACTGCTCAAGGTCCTATCTATCTTGTCTGTCTCTAAATACTAACTCAGAACTCAAGACCCTGGGGGACTGTCCCAAACTAACCTCTAGCAGGAGAGCCATCCGTTACCTCCATCACTGAAGTAACTCACCAGGTCACAGAGGAGACTGCCATTTCTAGACCTTGTGCGGTTATACTCGCAGGGCTTGTAGATGCCCAGGGCAGAGGGATCTGCACCAATGGGCCGGTAAAAGTAATCCTGGCAGGACTCACTGTTTCTCCCTGCGTCGGGATAGAGTGTGCATTAGGACTCATAATTCATTACAATCGGCTGCATAATTCAAGATTAAAGACTGTATTCCTTTGAGGAAATTCTGTAATTTTCGGGACGTCCATTTTAATGCACCTTTCATCTCTACCTGCCAATTTAGTGATCCGGAGCATATGAAACGGTGAACCTGTTCCAAACGGTGCTCTACTCCATTAAACGCCCATCTGCTATGCAATACCGCACTTCTGACAAGTTTTGCTTTGGAAGGGAGCATACATTTTAAAAAGAAACCATTCTCAAACTTAAAATTTCATCCCTATGTGAGGAATTGCGACACTCGTGTCAGATGACATCTACGTGCGTGGAAGGAAGTGGGAATGCTGCATCACAAACATTTGTCCAGAGTCATGGAGCTCACATGGTTGGTAAGGCCCTTGGTGTGAATGCAGGAGGACCTGACTCTGATACCCAGCACACACAAAGCCAGCCAGGCCCATGGAGTGGCACACACCAGTTACCCAGTGACAGATGGGTCCCTGGGGCTCACTGACCAGCCAGTTCAGCCAAATGAATGAGTTCCCAGCAGAGGGACACGAGGTAGGAGGTGCTTGAGGAAGACAGTTGATGGTCACTTCTGGCTTCCACATATATACACATGCTCAGCATACATATGCACATGATCACCACACACACAAAATATAAAGATGTATTTTTTAGAAGTAGACTATGAAAAAATTAGAGAATGCTCTTACATGATGGATAGATATACAGTCAGTAATTTTTAATGCTTCTCTTAGTTATTTTTTACTTCAAGTCTCAGAATACCAGATAAACCTTGCATTAAATATTAGAAGAGTATAGCCGAGTCCAGTGTGTAACACAGTGCCTATGGATTTCAGCTTATTAGTCAGCCTTTTCTCTTGCCCTCTTATGAATAGGAGCCTATGTTCTAAGTAAATTCCAGAGTCCATGTGGGTAGTGCAAGACCAGGGAAAGAGGCTGAAATAAGCCATCAGGCTATCAAATTTCCCATTATAAACCATACACTCTGTTCAGATGTTGCTGGAAATGGACCCAATATCAGAAAACTAGATAACTATTTTTTCATTCTGATGGTTATTATCTTATGATTAATTAAAAATTAAATAAATTCATAATGCTTCTAGGATACTGACGTTGGCTCCTCAATTTGTGTGTCTGCTCTGGAACCTGCTCTTGCATTATCAACGCGGGAATGCTCACCTCCATCGCACCCACACCCAGTTAGCTTCTCAGGCTATTTTATGTCACCAAGAATTATGTAATTCATTCTCTCATGCCCCAGAATAACACTTTTGGGCCCATTATATTTGCATTATATTTTACAAACACTGATGCTGCCTGCTTTTGCTTCCATGTTAATACTGCTTGTCAGAAAGCAGTGATTTTAATAACTGCTGGAAATCACTAATTATAGGACCTACAGAGACTATGGATCACCTTCTGTATTTATAGCCAATTTGTTACCGTGTGTGTGTGTGTGTGTGTGTGTGTGTGTGTGTGTGTGTGTGATGACATGTGTGCACCACTGTGCGCCTCTGGAGGGCAGAGGACAACCTGCAGGAGTCATTCTTCTCCTTCCACTGTGTAGTTTGGAAAATGCAGCCCAAACTTTGGGGCTCTCCAGTGAGCTCTTTTTCCTATGAGCCATCTTCTTGGTCCATATATCCATGATGTCTTAAAAAGATTGTCGGTTTCTGTGTAATGTCTGAGCAAATGTAACTTGCCCATGTGTGAAGCCAGACACAAGGAAGACAGGAATATAAGTGACAGGAGTAACTTACTGTAAGGATGTATTCAAACTGAATCAGGTGAAGCTATGCAAATCAGCAGTTTGGTCAATGCTCTGAACTCTTTCTGGATAACACCTGCATGCAAACACAATGAAGGACTCTTTCTGGATGGAGAACATTTGATGAATAAGCCTTTGCTTCCAAACTTAAGATCATGTAAGCCCATCCCCAAATAAGATAACTATATCATAATTTAAAATACCGTGCATCTAGAGACAGACACCCAGGATCCCACGGGCTGAGCCAGTCATTTGGGATTTGAGATTACCTGTCCTGTGATGCAGGCAGTCATCACAGACTCCTCTGCTGTGCTCCAGAGGAAATGGGTCCACAGAAGCATCATGGTGGCAGCTTCTGGCGTGGCTGTGGCACTGACAGGGGTTACAGTTGAATGCATGAACAAGGCCACCACTGTGGAAACGCTTGTCATTATAAAGGGGTGAGCAGCGATCAACACTAGAACGATGAAACGTCAGGGCTGTGCAGTTTTTATCCAGGTGCCCATCACTGTCAGTGAATGGAAAATGAAAAACTTGTGAGTTAAGAACCTGACTACTTTGTCATCAAAACTATTTTATAAATCAGAAAATGTCATGGATGAGGATTCTCTTACAACCTTTAAAGTTATGTCGAAATATGAAAATCCCCTACTCTGAGCAGTAAAGTGATGTGGGATTTCCCTCTGTATGCTGTGATTACCATTAATGAGTAAAGAAACTGCTTTGGACCTATAGCAGGGCAGAAGTTAGGTAGGCAGGAAAAACTAAGCTGAATGCTAGGAGGAAGAAAGGCAGAGTCAGAGAGAAATCATGGAGCTGCCTTGAGATAGACATTGTGAACTTTTACCCAGTAAGCCACAGCCGTGTGGTGATACACAGATTAATGGAGATGGGTTAAATTAATATGTAAGAGTTAGCAAATAAGAAGCTAGAGCTAATGGGCCAAGCAGTGATTTAATTAATATGGTTTCTGTGTGATTATTTCAGGTCTATGCTAACGGGTGGCTGGGAACCAACAAGTGGCTCCTTACAAAAGTATTGGAATTCACAAGCAGTAAAATGAGTATTAACTGATCACCTTATAGTTTCAAACTTTGCAATGAATTGGGAAATAAACTCATCTCGTGCTTTGCAAATAATCTTATCAACAATACTTCCAAGAGTATTGTTCTACATCTCATCCACGCTCTGGCGTGCTAAAGCCATCCTCTCCTTTGCTGTTCTGTGGTAACTTGCAATACTCATTCTGTTTCTTGAACACCCTGGTTGTGAAGTGTTGTATAAATGGGTCACTAACAAGGAAGTGGTACAACAGCTACTTCCCTGCCTGAGGAAAGAAATGGGATTGGCCGCCGATCCTGTGTGTGTAGTTTGAACGGCAGTTCAAGGATTGAAGACACATCAGCTGTTTGTGTCAATAAGGAAGCAAAAAAAAAATAAGTATCATTGATGATTGAGGACCAGTAAGTCCAAATATTTGCAAAAGATAATTTCTCCCTTTATATTTTTAAAAAGAAAAAATAAATACGACTCTTTCCCATTGTGTTTCTATTTTGCAGTATACTGAACATTTTAACATCAAGCAAAGGCTGTGAGTTTTTTCTACTTAACTGAAGGGGGAAGCAAACCGAGAAGAAAATACGAATGTTACACAAACACCAGGCCGCAATGCTCAAGTACAGGGAAGTTGAGCTGTAGTTATCAATACGGAATGTACCTGGTACTTCAGTCAGTTTTCAGGGTTCTATAATATTCTCATAGTGATGAAATTATTTTTTAATCATAACTACTTTTATGTCATGGATTGAGTAGCTGGCCTCTTTTCTTCTCCCATTGTTCTCTAAGGCAGTCGTGTGATGTCCCTGTCTTCTGTTCTCTAGTGACACCTGCGTCATATTTCTGTCCTTCTGCATTCAGCCTTAGCTCCCTTAATACCCTGTCCCAGGAAATGCTAGACACCTATGTTTATACCGCCCACACTGTCTGCATAGTTAGAGCAGAGAGGAAGTTGCTAAGGTGATGGCTGAAAATTCACATCTAACTCTGATACCGATGTTCAAAGAGATCTCTTCTTGGAAGAATTTATGGCATGCTAGACAGCAGGCTAATGCCTGCACAGCGTTCATGATCAGCTATGATGAGATCACTCAAAATGATATTTCCAACTAGAAAACAACCTCATTTAGCAAATCAAAGGTACAACTAACCACTGCTAGTTTCAGGTATTTGGCCACATGATTTTATGAGACAGGGTCTTGTCATGATTCAGCCGGATTAGCAATGAACTGACTATGAAATCCGAACTGGTCTTGAACTTACAGTGATCCTCCTGACTCAGCTTTTCATGTACTGAAATTATAGATAGGTACCATGGCACATTGGCTAGAAAGAAACAAAAAAAGAAGAAAGGAAGTAAAGAAGATAGAAGAGATAGATAGATGATAGATAGATGATAAATAGATAGATGATAGATAGATAGATGATAGATAGATAGATAGATAGATAGATAGATGATAGATAGATGATAGATAGATAGATAGATAGATAGATAGATAGATAGATAGATGATAGATACTTTAAACTTTCCCTTACTGAATTATCATATACCAAGAAAGCTTATTTTATAATAAATATTGGAGTTAATTTCAGACTAGACATCAGAAAGTATAGTTATTGTTGCTTACTGACTGCAGAAAAGGCCACTGTAATGGGAGGTATGTGCCCTCAATATGCTAAACCCTAAAGTAAGCATTTAAAATGTAGTTACTCCCAGCAGTGTAAAAGTGGGTAAAGACACTGTAGTTTACAGACACAGTGGAATTGGATTCGGCCATAACAAGATAGAATCATGTCAGTTCCAGCCGCATAGTGGGACTCCTCCTGATCAGTGAAGTTAAAAGACAAACATGGTACACCATCGATGACATGTGGAAGCCACACAGGTGATGAAGCAGAAGAGAGGTCATTGAGGCTGTGGTGATCCAGGGGGAGACTTGAGGTTGGCTAGGTAATGAATACAGGAGTGAGTGCAGTTTGACTCAGTAAAGACTTCTGATGTCCTGAGCATCATTGTGCAGCTATTGTTGGCAATTAGCCCTAAATGTCCAGTAGCCATTTGAAAGGGTCTTACCACTCTCCACAGGCATGTGATAACATATACATAGCGAGAACCCCTGTGTAATCATTGCACACAATGCCCATGTGCTAAACTATAGTGCTATATCCCATAAATGTGTATGCTCACTGCGTACTAATAAAAATAGTTTAAAGACAGAATGGGCTCAGGGAACAAGGCCTACTAATGTTCTATGTCATGATGGCATCAGCAACTGAGAATTTTCCAGGTTAGGAGACACCATCAAAGCTCTTGAACAAAGTTAATTTTTAAATCCATGTTACACCTATAAATCCTGTATTTCTTCATCTCTAAAGGGAAGAGAAGTTAGTATTTTACAACTGATTAAAAGCAATTATGGAATGGGGACCAGTAATGCTCAAAACCAATCCAAGAAGATATTAATGCAGAATCTGAGGTTACAGATTGGAGAACATGAGGAGGAAGTGTGGGAGAAGATATTGAGGAGGAAGAGGTAAAAAACAAGGAGATTAGAAGAGGAGAGAGGGTTTAAAAGATGAAAAATGAGAGAAAGAAGTGGAGAAGAAAGGGGAAGAACAGGGAGAGAAGGAGATGAAAAGAAAAGAGGAAGGAGAAAATGAGGTGAGGGGGAAGAACAAAAACCCACCAGAGACGTTGGCCTAAAGTCTGGATGGCCGCGCAGAACACAGCACAATTCTATGTGAAAAGTTGTCATTAACCCCTGGGGATTCTCAACCTTCAAGGTCCTGGCCCATGATGGACTCGATCATGTGGTCTAGAGAATAGAGCAAAATGTAAAGGATGAAGGAGCTTTATTTCTGTGTCTTTTTGTCATGAGTATGTAAATCAGCGGAAACTTTACAGACTTCTACATCTAGGCACCATCAGATGTCAATGGGGTGCAACTATATTTCCTAGTGGCTGTGGGTCTAGGGAAGATGAACTCAGGATGTCACTGGGATACAACTGTCTGTAGTGGCTGCAGGTCTGGGGGAGATGCAATCTACTGGGATAAAATTAAGAACAGGAAAACAATTCATGTTCCTAGAGAAGCTAAATAAGAAGGTGAATCCAAAGACAAACACATAGGCATCCTCCTGAATATTAACCTTCATCAGGCGATGAAAGGAGACAAAGACAGAGACCCACATTGGAGCACCGGATAGAAATCTCAAGGTCCAAATCAGGAGCAGAAGGAGAGGGAGCACGAGCAAGGAACTCAGGACCGCGAGGGGTGCACCCACACACTGAGACAATGGGGATGTTCTACTGGGAACTCACCAAGGCCAGCTGGCCTGGGTCTGAAAAAGCATGGGATAAATCCGGACTAGCTGAACATAGCGGACAATGAGGAATACTGAGAACTCAAGAACAATCACAGTGGGTTTTTGATCCTACTGAACATACTGGCTTTGGGGAAGCCTAGGCAGTTTGGATGCTCACCTTACTAGACCTTGATAGAGGTGGGTGGTCCTTGGGCTTCCCATAGGTCAGGGAACCCTGATTGCTCTTGGAGCAGATGAGGGAGGGGGACTTGATCAGGGGAGCGGGAGGGAAATGGGAGGCGGTGGCGGGGTGGAGGCAGAAATCCTTAATAAATAAATTAAAAAATAATAAAAATAAAAAATAAATCCAAAAAAAAAGAACTTCCAGAGTTACCTTGCCTTGGCCCAACACCCTGAAACACCCATACAACCATGCTCTTGTCTGTACTTATAAAACTCTGTTGCATTGAACAGATTTAAGGAAAGACAAAATCTTACTGCATGAAAATATGAAAACAATCTCAAGCTTGTTTTTATTAAAATTTATTTTTCTTTGCTGCTCTTTTGTTTTGCTTTAGTTCAAAAAAAATCTTAATGAAAGAATTTTCTCACCCCAAGGTGATGTTTCAAATTGTACTTTCTTGATAAAAGCTAGTGGAGAGCGGTAAGGATGCGGGCATGTGGCCCTGTCACACTGATCTCATGTGCAGTCTGTGGTCCACAAACTAACCGCAGGCTGGATTTGGGGAGGTGCCTGCCGGAGTCAGAGAAGCAGATCCAGCAAAAGAAGGCCTGTGATGTCCATGAAAACAGCATTTTCTTCCTTTTGCTTTTGATCTAAATGTTTTTATTTTCTCATTTGATTTTTTGTCTTTATTTTCAACTCACAGGCCAGTATCGTGAAGCCTTGTGATAGATAAGACTGAATAAAATGTCATATAAATGCTACAAAAACACAATCCTGGCTTCCTTGATGTTTTCAATTAAAGAGGAATTTTGCTACAGACTTAAGGAAAGTTTTGGTCACTCGTTGGTATGGAAACAGCTAGGCTTCCTTTGGCACACAACTTTAATGCATAGATGAGATGAGTAACTTTGTTTCCTGATGAAAATAAATACAGTTTTCTTTGGGGCTTTTAACACTGTAAATACCATAGTCCTAGGGACTCGTTACGATAATTAGAGCAACTCCGCCTTGAGGACGGCAATTTACTTGCACATCCGAGCAACATGTGAACCTGTTCCTGTACATAGAAACTTCTCTGTTGAATTGCGTCAACTTCATAGGAAAGACCTGGCATCTTGGAATATGTTTATTACACTCAAAAGAATGAAATGTTTTCAATGCCCAAAGCAAGCATACATCTCAACTTAAACATAATGCAAATACTTACAAATATAGATATGAACTCATAATAATTTAGATTTTAAAATCAAGTAGCACGTAGAATATAATCTCATTTTCTAGATAAAGGGGGTTTCATTTCTGTATAAGCCAACTTTAAGACTCTACTAAGAGAGAGACATTACAGATTTACCCACATTACAAATAACATCAAGTCTGAAAGTAGCTACATATACTACTTGTTGGGATTGTCTTTGGGTGGTAGGCAAATACGGCTTTTATATTTTATGACTAGCTTTTCTACATAGTATAAACTTATCGCAATATATTAAAATGTTTTTGATAGTTGATGTTTTCTTGGGGACAGATAGCCAATTTTCTTTAAAGGTGAGGCTCAGGTAGGTGGTCCATGTTCCAAAGGATGTCTCCACATCCATGAGGATGTGCTACACACAAATTGTACTTGGTGAGTTAGGAGAGAAGGAACATGCAATTGGGAAGGGGGTGAAGAGGTGTGGAGGATGTATTTGCATTGTTTTCATCTAATACCTAGGAAATTGAAAATGTTCCCATTTTAAAGTCCTGCACATGAGTGGCAGAAGGTGATACAGTGCTTTTCTTTTTAAGGACTTGTAGGACAAGAGCCCAAATCCAGTACTGGGGATCATGGTATGATGCTCTTTCCTATCCTTTGAAAGTTTCATCTATGTAGCCACTGTAGTTAGGTCCTCCTCACCTCCTACTCCTCACCTCAACCCCATCCTCCAGCACCCCTCAACTTCATGTCTTCAGCCCCTCTTATCTTTTACAATCCACATAAAATGTAAGAGCTGGGAGATCGGAGGGGAAGATTGAGGAAGGCTGGCTTTGGACACAGCATGGTTGTTGCTTTAATTCATTGTGGGTATAGTAGCCTGCCCAATACCTACACAAAACCTGGACAGTTAAATTCCAATACAAGATGGGGAGAGTCCTGATGTCCCACCCATAGCTGAGGAGCTGGAGGCATTGGATGGCTGCTGGAGCAGACAGAATCACTTGTTTAGGTGGTGGAGGGGCATTGATAGGTTTCTTCTACACATGTGTATAAGAACAGGTACTAATTGGACTCAGTGGGTTATAAAGAATGATTGATAAGGATGTAAATGTTTTCAAAGCCTTGTTACAGAAATACAGATTTTGAGAAACAACTACCTCAATTTTAATTTTAAAATTTGTTTTAAACCATACCCAACTGAATTGCTTGCTGACATCTATTTAGGTCTCCTATCT